AGTTTGCCGCTTTGCATTGCTGCCGCGGGGACAAGGTCCACATACACCTCTCGCCACTACCACCGTCTGTGCATCCTCACCGCCACGCTGAGCCAGCGCGGCGGTGAGTTGCACCTTGGGACACCACCCACCTACTATCTGTTGTGGCCTGGTTCGCCCGCGAGGGACTCACAAGGTCGATTTCGGCCCCGGCCGGGGAGCAGGCCGGGGAGGGGAGTGTGCTGCAGCAGTTATAGTGTGGGCTACCCACGATCGGCAGGGATGACCCACGTGTTGGCGTAAACCACATTGTGGGAAAAGAGGCGGCGGCAATGAGGTCCAACGAACACGATCCGTGTTAGAGACTATATCTGGGCGGTGAGCGAGAAAACAGGGCGTGTTCATCGAGTGTTTAGAATGAAATTTTCGGCTACGTCACTCCTCACGCACAGCACGCGAAAGCGCCATAATGTGGCCGCATCCGAGCTGTCGGTGAACGGCGTTAATCGAATCAAAGAACATTTCACCATTTCGTGTGTTCTATGGTGAAACTGTGTCTCAACACACGAAGCACCATAGGGTGGCTGTGTCCATGTTTTACGCGAAGCACGTAGCACGCATCACGAAAAAGCGTCATAGTGTGGCCGCATCCGTGCTGCGGGCGACCGGCATTTACCGAATCAAATCGTAAGTAGGCCGGTAGTCTAGAACAATTCGCATGCTACTGTTTCGCTGCAACGCCGCGTCCCTACACACAAAGCCCCACAATGTGGCTGCATCCGCGTTGGGGACAAAACGCTCAGCACGCAACAAGAAACGCGCAATGGTGCGGCTGCATCCATGTTGTAAGCAAAGCGCGTGCCACGCAACACCCGAAGTGCCATAGTGTGGCTGCATCTGTGTCGTAAGCGAAGCGCACAGCACGCGAAAGCGCCATAATTTTGCCGCGTCCGAGCTGTAGGTGAACGGCATTCATCGAATCAAAAATCAACGTAGGCTGAAAGAAAAAAAACAAACGCTCATACTTAGAAGTATGCCTTTTTTTATTTCGACCCTCCACAACGTGGCTAATGCAGAACGGCTATCACATATCATCACGGAACAACGAAGCCCATCGAATCAAATCCAAAGTAGGCTGATCGAAAATCTCACAGGCAATTGTTTATCGTGACGCGCCACAGCGTGGCTGCCTCCGTGCCAAAGCAACACGGCTACCGCCTCTAATCACGAAATAATGAGTTCACCCTAGGCCAGCCAAAGAAAAAAAACACTCTTTACCGCGTTGATCAGTCGGGGCGCACCGATAACCAAGAGCTCTGAAACGGGTCGGCCACCGCTTCCTGCGGTAGAGGTATAGATATATATGCTCTTTGGACTACACCTTGCAAGTTTAACACAACATAGTTCTTGTGACACTCTACCGGCAGCCATCCGTGCATGTACAGTGGGGGTCCCTCTAAGTAAGTGCGGGCATGTGCCAAGCGATTTCACCCGCACAATAGCGGGAGCACTACACTATGTGATTTCGGGCCTGACTTGTGCGGCAAGACGCACTATTCAGGGTCCTCAGTACCATCAATCGTGCGGGAAGACGTACCATTCGCGATATCACTGATATTGAGTCCGTACAGGATGAATCAAACGCCTATGCAGGTGGCACAACAGTAGTGTACGTAACACGCGAGGAGTAAGAATAGTTCGACGTGGCGTCTGCAAGATAGAAGTCTGCGTTCGTTCAAGGGTTAGACGAGAATACAACAGGGTTCTTAGCGCGTTCGCGCCACCGCCCAAATTTAGCGATCCGAAGCCAAGGGTCAATAATAATGAGTGCAGAGGCCAAGCAACAGGTGAAAAATGCACTTACCACTGCTGCTGCGTTGCATTGTCTTGACCGAAAAATACATTTGATTGAAGGACAAGGAGAAGGCGGGGCAGTGCATCGAGACTACCAGGTATCTTATTTTTTTGCGAATAGAATCTAGGGATTCCACCTAAAAAAACGCACGAAAAAATGTGTTTGGAAAAACGCGTTTCAGAAAGTGACGGTTGAAAAATCATGTTTCGCTGTCTCCCTGCCTACTGCCGGTTGGAACCCCCCCCCGTGCTCTTGATATTTTTTCGGACATCAGTACCCCCTCCATTATAAAAATTTTCCGCAAGCACGGAACACGCGGCGGCGTGATTTGGCGTGATGTTGGCACGCGCGTTGAGGTCCTGAAGCAAATGGCGCGCCTACAGCGTGGTAACATTCGGCATGAGAGGCATGGCCAAATCATGCAGATAGATGATTACCGCGGCTCTGCTGTGTGCGGTGGCTGGAGAGGAGGAGCTTGTCCTCGTCCTGGCGGTAGTGGCAATGCGGCAACTCCAATGCGTTCCCAACCCAAACCATGCTCCCAACTCGAACCACGCCGCCGGGTGAACTGTGCTAACCCTGACTTCCAAGCACTTGACCGCTGGTGTGACTGATGACTCGCTACGTCCGTCAAGGAGCGGGGATGCACACGACGTCTGCCGTAGGAGAGGCGGCTACCGCGGTCACTGGTGCGGGTGAAAAGTTGTCCCAACCACGCCCACCACGCACGCACGCCCCCAGCACGTTCTTTTAAACACAAAAGTTCACCGGAAATGACCCCAACGCGCGCCGGTTCCACACTAGTTGCCTCAAGGATTGATAGCTGTGCTCTCGGAGCACGTGTCGTGCGGTAAGTAAGGTGGATGTGTGCGTGTGCGCGAAGTTTGTTTTCTTCAAACAAACGCGGAAAAAAAACGCACCAACATCATAACATATATCAGACACACAAGACAGCTACCAAACTGATTTGTTGAGCCTGTTATCCGCAGGGGGGAGATGTCCCTATATGCTTTCTGGGAAATCGTAGGCATAGACTACAGGAAGTTTTTTCTGACGCTATGATTCCATTGTCAACCTGTCTCTGACTCTTATCAATGATAGAGAGAGATGGACTCGTTGTGTCATACTGAGAAACATAATTTAAAAAAAACGCACCAAATGGAAAAAAAAAACAGACGAGCTGGACTGCAGAAATTCGTACGAAAAGGCGCGGCGGAACCTCGAAACACGGTTTTTTGGCGAAGCATGTTTTTTTCGTGCGTTTTTTCCCGAGGTGGAATCCGTCTAATAATATTTCTGAATTTTTCTGGCGCTTGCCGCGCGCCGCCATGATGAGCAAATCTACTGCCTTACACATGATGCAAGCCGGAACGAGGACGGGCGCAGCAATGCTTCGTTTGTCCGACACTACTGAAGGTTGAGTGCCATCAACGACAAACAAACACACAGATTACACTGTTCGTACGTAGGAGTAGACAAGCCAAAAGTAGCCGTTACGTAGGACGCGGATAGGGTATACAGGATAGAAGTATACCTGGAGAGATATGTGCCTTCTCTATCGCGTGCTAATTCAACCAGTTAAACAGCAGCCGCAAGTCCGCACGGCAAGTACTGTTGCCAGAGCTCACGAACACGCTAGCGCTTCTTCCCGGGAAGATCTGCTTTGACAGAGCGGACCATGGCGTTGAATCAGGGTGACGCCGGGGTTCCAGCAGCCAGCGTCAACGACGCTGAACTGGACGCTCGGTTGACTGGCATGGAACAGCGGTTAGGCGAAGCGATGGAAGGCAGGATGCAAGCCATGATGAGCCAGGTGATGAGCCAGCTTCCATCGTTGATGAGGGGAGCGTTGGATGTTGGAGGTGTTCAGCAGGAGGAGGAGTCCGGCGGTGACGTAGGGGCATCGACAGGGGCCAGCGGTGACGCTGCAGCCCCGAACAGCAGCCAGGGGTCCGCCGCGACGGGCACAGTGGGTGTAGGCGGCTACGGCAGAGGATATGGCTCCCAAGGTGAGGCAGCCGCAACCGGCGGTGGCGTTGGTGGTGTTTTCGTCAGCGGTGATGTCGCTGGTGAGGGTCTTTTCACGGGAGGCGGCGGAATTTCGAAACTCGCCGCGTCTCACGTAAACCCACCACAGCTCAAGAAAGGGGCCGAGCAGTACCCGGGGTGGAGGCAGGATATGATCGTGCAGGCAGGCATTCTCGACATAGGCGATGTGTTCTCCGGCGGCGGGGTGCTGCCGGACATCAACAAGCCACAGACCGCCCTTCTCGAGCAGGGGTTTTCGTATGCAGCAATCCGTAAGACGTATCTGGCGTGGAATTTCCTCTCTGCCGCGTTGACTACTGAGACNATGAGGGTCGTTTCACGGGAGGCGGCGGAATTTCGAAACTCGCCGCGTCTCACGTAAACCCACCACAGCTCAAGAAAGGGGCCGAGCAGTACCCGGGGTGGAGGCAGGATATGATCGTGCAGGCAGGCATTCTCGACATAGGCGATGTGTTCTCCGGCGGCGGGGTGCTGCCGGACATCAACAAGCCACAGACCGCCCTTCTCGAGCAGGGGTTTTCGTATGCAGCAATCCGCAAGACGTATCTGGCGTGGAATTTCCTCTCTGCCGCGTTGACTACTGAGACGGACAAAGCCATCCTCCGTCGTTGCACGAACCCAAGGGAAGCCCTGCGGCAACTAGATGCGGCATACCTACCGGAGACACAGGGTGCACAGCAGCAGCTTTTCAGAGAGTTCCAGCAGCACCAGACTCCTCGGAAGGAGAACCCCGTCGCCAGTTTGAACAAGCTCATGGGTATGGCCAACATGATGCGGCAAGGGGGCGGAGCCACGGTAAACGACCAGTTCGTGTTCGCCCGACTTATCGATTCGCTGCCCAACCCCGAATACGAAGTCACCAAGCAAACCTTGTCGGTGGTCCAACCGCTGACGAGGGATATCCTTNTTGAACAAGCTCATGGGTATGGCCAACATGATGCGGCCAGGGGGCGGAGCCACGGAAAACGGCCAATTCGTGTTCGCCCGACTAATCGATTCGCTGCCCAACCCCGAATACGACGTCACCAGCAAACCTTGTCGGTGGTCCAACCACTGACGAGGGATATCCTTGTACAAGAGCTCTCAACCCGATTTAACCTTCTCACCGAGGAATGGAGGAAGGAAGGAGAAAAAGGATCCGGGGGGGAGCAGGCGTACATTGCGGGTGACGGCACCGGGAAGGGGCGGCAGGCTGGCGGCGGCCGCGGCAGTAAGAGCAACGGCCGTGGCAGCAAGAAGAAGGCGGGGACGGACGACCTGGTCGACCACCGGAGGTGTTTCCGGTGCAACCACCGCGGGCATAGGAAGCCCGACTGCACCACGAAGGAGGAGGACTTCCTGGAGCAGTGCGACACGTGTTCGGGCTTTGGGCACAACAGCGAGAAGTGTGCGACACCCACGGAGGAAGCGTGCATGGCGGTAGTGGAGCATGCCAACTTCGCGGTGGTGAGTTTCGAAGAGCAGTACGACCGCGNAAAGTGTGCGACGCCCACGGAGGAAGCGTGCATGGCGGTAGTGGAGCATGCCAACTTCGCGGTGGTGAGTTTCGAAGAGCAGTACGACCGCGCGGAGGAACTGTGCAAGATGGATCCTAGTTGGGAGAAGCTGACCGAAGACGAGAAGGAAGCAAAGGTGCAGGAAGTGATAACTGAAAGTTTCTAGGGTGGACAGGTGGTGTTGCTAATACGGTACGGCAGGTTGGCCGCAGGCCCTTAGCGCCGCTGATTTGCGGTGGGGCGGGTGGACGAAGTCGCGCGGAGGTGGCGCGCAAGCACAGCATGGACAGAGGGGCCATGAAAGTCGCACAATTGACGGTGCGCACTCCATCGGCGGGATAGGAGGCGGTGGAAAGCAGCGACGGTAGAGTGACCGTTGGGCAGAATAGCCGGAGACACCCTACCATGGATTGACCGCGCGACGGCGTGTGGGGGGTGGGCGCCGCACTCGCTTGACGCGGGCGGTGTTTTCTCTAAGTTGATCACAGGCACGGCAGAGTGGCCGTGCACGCCCTACCACGGTTGACACGCGCGACGGCGCGTCGGGGGGTGGGTGCCGCATCACGCGTGAAGCGGGCGGCATTTTTCAACCACAGCACGGACGGAGGGGCCGTGGCTTTCCTGCCTTGCCGTTTGGAGCCGGGGAGGTAGCACTTGAAGTCGCGCGGAGATGGCGCGCAACCCAGCACGGACGGACGGGCCGTGGCTGTTCTGCCTCGTCGTTGGAGCGGGGGGGGGAAGCATGTTTTGTCGCGCGGAGGTGGCGCGCAACCATCAGCCGGAGGTGGGCATTTGGGGTGAGGCACAGCGATATGGCGCTGTCATCAAAGTCGCGTGGAGAGTCGCCGCGCGCATTTCATAAGCCGGGAAGGGACGATGGAGATCGGGATCGGCAGGATCGACTTGTGGACGATCGAGGGCGCGCTTCATCTTCACGATTGGAACTGGTGGAGTGGACGGGCAAGCTTGATAATTTTTTTCTTGTGTTTTTTCTTTTTTCGACGCCAGTTTACAGGTGTCGGTAAAATCCGAATTTTTCAAGCGTTCTTGATCTTGTTTCGTTTTTTTTTTTTTGTCGTTTCTTTTGACGGTAACTTTTTTTTGGTTGCCGAATCCAGTGGTAATTCTCACGTATACGTGTTGTCGTTATACATCGTGATGTACGCTTTTGCGCTTCTTGACCATTTTTTTTTGTTGTGTCGAGGGCTCATATCAGTGACAGGTGTGTCGGTGATGGTAGCAAAGTGGGGGGGGACGTTTTGTTTCTGAAGATGGGTTTCGTGGAAAACCGGTTGTGTTTGATTTGTTCTTCAGCAGAAACAGGATGTTTGTGGTTCTGGTTTGGTGGTGGATCGCGCTCGGTTGATCCCAAAAGAGGGAGAACGTACCTGTCTGATGAAGTTTTGATGCGGAATGCAGTTAGGCAGGGAGGGCGTTGCTCGTACATGTGTGTGATACACGAATCAGTGTTGGTGCTGCACAAGGATCTTGTTTCATCATTCAAGAACGATTTTGCCAGGAGCGTACCTCGTGGTTGGAGAGTAGAGCGTTGCTTAGAAAATCGTAATCCGCATGTTTGGTGTACGTCGCTTTTGTTTTGATCTTGCAGTACAGCCGTTGGAATCATAGATGACATGGACGGTTCGCTTAATTTTGTTTGAGCCGTTGGACGTCGAGGGGTTTTGATCCGGCGGCCGGGTTTCCCCTTGGTTTTATTTTCTTGGTTGTGTTGCAGCTATTTTGGCATAGCTCCGACGCACGAGTGGTTCTTCGATGGTGCAAAGAACCAGGGAGGGTGTTCGTACGTAGGAGTAGACAAGCCAAAAGTAGCCGTTACGTAGGACGCAGATANGACATGGACGGTTCGCTTAATTTTGTTTGAGCCGTTGGACGTCGAGGGGTTTTGATCCGGCGGCCGGGTTTCCCCTTGGTTTTATTTTCTTGGTTGTGTTGCAGCTATTTTGGCATAGCTCCGACGCACGAGTGGTTCTTCGATGGTGCAAAGAACCAGGGAGGGTGTTCGTACGTAGGAGTAGACAAGCCAAAAGTAGCCGTCACGTAGGACGCAGATAGGATATACCTGGAGAGGTATGTGGCGAGTCAGTTTGGTGAGAGCGCGGAGCCCCCGTTTTTTTCGTGAGTTCGGGGCACTCTCTCCTTCCGCTCTCTCTCCCTTCGTGCCTTCTCTATCGCGTGCTAATTCAACCAGTTAAACAGCAGCCCCAAGTCCGCACGGCAAGTACTTTTGCCAGAGCTCACGAACATACACCTGCATCTCAGTCCGTCGTCCCAACATGATCATGGTCGATTTTCGGGTCATTGGCGCTTTCCGCCGCCACCGAACGAGAAGTAACTTGTCTTCTTGTTGATCGTATTAAAGCGAGTATTTCAGATGGATCCAACCTAAGAGCCTGTCTTATCGGAATCGAAAAAATCTGTTTCCAGGAAATCAAAAATCAAAATTGGGCTCTGATTGGCCAAGAGGCCCGGAAGCCGGTGAACGGCGATTTCGAATTACCGAAGAATCTGTATCGCGGCGTCCCCAACGACTTTTTTTGTCCGTATCCAGAAAATCTGTCTTGGAGTCTCAACGCATGGAAGTCTTCGGCAACGCTCCACCTACTCGGCTGGCAACCATACAGCGCTAGTTGCTCTCTCTCCGACTGTCGAGACACACACGATCACATACGGCGAGCACGCATAGCATGGCAGATGACATGCTGGAGACGACCACGGCCGAAAATTGCGCAACGGGAAGGAGTCAGCGCGTCGGCCTGCTTTCTGGAGCCCAGACGGGGGCGAGGCTACTGCCGCCCGTACAAGGCGAGGCAGCTGCTGAGAACGGCAGCAAGCGGAGCGTTGGTGTCGCGGACGTTGACCGCTTCAACGCGGGGTTAGCGCGAGCCGCTCAATATCGGTCGGAGGCTGGTTGTGATCATGATTATCATGGGGAAGATT